GCAGAGGCTAGTTCTCTTCATTTTCACCCTTTGCAATGCTTTTTTTTCCTGGCTTCTAGGTCTGGGTCCAATCCCATGTCCTTTAGGAAACCTGTCATTCCCCAATTCTAAGTGATTCCTCTGGATTTGTGATCCTCTGACATGGAAGGTATTCCATAAAACAAGCCAAGGGGTCCTTGACCCAATATCACATTTGGTAGGTCCTAAAGGAAACTTTCAGAGCTAGGGTGTGAAAGCACCAATACACATCAATGAAATAAAATGGAAAATGTTTAAAATCAGAAGTTCCTTTTAATGTTATTCATAGGCTTATAGAACTATAACTAGAAGGAACCTTAGAAGTCCATCTTGTCCAAACCTTTCATTTTACAAATAAGAAAACTGAGGCCAAGAGAATCTTGCTCAAGGTCATACAAATAGTAAAGGAGAAGGATGGGATTTAAACCCAGGTCCTCTCATTGAATTTAAAAAAAGATATTTTTACTTCAGTGTAGTTATTTACATGTTTTCTCCTCTAATTAGAATGTAAACTTCTTGAGGGAAGGGCCTTTGTTTCTTCTGCACTTAGCACTTTCTATTGTAAGTGCTTCATAATTGCTTGTTGATTTGACTTGACTTCTCCACTAAACTGTACTTAGCTTCAGCCCCTGATAGTTCTTTCATCCATAATAGATATTATTGAGAACATTTGTGGTTTTAGAAGGAGGATGTCACAGTGGATAAAGAGCCTGACTCAAAACCAGTAAGAATTAGGTTCAAGTCTCACCTCTGGTGTGTACTAGCCATGAGATCCTGGGCATGTCATGGGATCTTTTGGTGTTCTTGGGGATTCTGGAAGACTAAGTTTCAGAGAAGGTGTCTGTTGACATTGGTAGACCTGGCAATTGTCTCTACGTGTGGAATCCTAGGTCTAGTTCCTCTCCCTATGACATGCAAATGGAGGTGCATTGGTCAAGTAGTGAGAATGAGAGACATCCCACCCTCTCAAAATATACATTGGTACCCCAAAGGTATTAAAAGAAGATGGCTTCCAGTGTTGGGGGTGGATTCTCTATGGGAAAAAATAAGAAAACACGAACAAATAATTTTATAAGCATGGATGAGGGGAGATCATAGGATCATAGAGGGGTTAAATACTATCTAACCCAACTCCCTCATTTTATAGGTGAAGAAACTGAGGCCCATGGAGGTTCATTAAGTTGCCAAAGGTTGCATAGGCAGTAAACATAAGAGGGGGAGGAGACAAGCTTGCAATTTGTCCCTAAGAGGCAGTATCCACACTAATAAAACCATGAATCTGCCAAAATCTGCCACGTACAATTTTTAGATTCCTGGGAGTGTGTCTTAGAAGGAGCCATCTGAGGATCTGCCTTAATGTGATGAAAAATTTCGTGAAGAGGACAGAATAATGGATATGGAAAACTCCGCCCAGGAGGAATCTGGATTTGAGAAAGAAATTGTTCTGTGACATAGTCTGGGAGAAGAAAGTGTGTTCTTAAGTGAATGTTGTTGATCAGTTGTGTCCAACTTTTCCTGGCTCCATTTGAGGTTTTCTTGGCAAAGGTACTGGAGTGGTTTGCCATTTCCTTCTCCGGCTCCTTTTACAGATAAGGAAACTGAGACACACAGGGTTAAGTGACTTGCCCAGGGTCACACAGCTAGGACGTATCTGGGGCCAGATTTGAACTCTAGGCCCAGTGCTCTGTGCATTATGGCACCACCTAGCTGCCCTTGTAAGTTATTATGAGATCCTTTCTTCCCCCAACAATTCTTCCTAAAAATAATCTCAAATGGGACGGCTATATGGCAGGGTTAGGTCTTTCAGGATGGGAGTCCTGTAAGTATGTTGAGAAATCAGTGTCATTCATGTACTCTTTTTGACATGTGACTTGAGCTACCATGTGGACACCATAAAGTTAAAACATCAGACATACAAACTATTCCACCCTCCACCAGTACCCATGTTATATCAACCTCCCAAACCAGATGCTCTCAATAGTAGATGCAGCATCTGGTTGAAGAAAGCTACCATACCAGAACTTGGTTGGGCCAAAATATTCTGTGGCCATAGTTTGAATCTCTTAGTGACAATCCTTCCTTCTAATATGGAGGGCATGGGGAGAAGGTATAGATATTAATTATTCTTAACATCAAGAAACTCCTAGCTAGACTAGTCTTATCAATCTCATTCATATGCACAAGTTGCTTCCATGTTAGCTTTACTAATCCTTAGTCTGAATGTATTTATTTAATATCACAGTTTCCTGTAGTCAAACCTAATTAATTAAAAAAAAACTTGAGGACAGGGTCAGTCTGAATTACAGAATTTGCTTCAAGAAATCTCATCAGTTAATTTCATGCATATTCCTAGACCTAGTCTAATAAAGGGTTGCTTGGTAGAGGTTCTTAAATGTCTGGTATAATGATGAAGTTGATTAGTGATAGTGAGTGTGTCAATTACTATGGATGCTGCTACAGTGTTTGAAGAGGCTTGGAAACTGCCTTCTTAAATAAAGCAATCTTGTTTATACAGTTAATTGGCTTAGCAAAGATTTTAAGTAAGGGTAGTCCTTCTCATCTCCCATCTTTCTAACATAACATCAATTGTTCTTCTAAATGAAAGAATATATTTTCTAGACTCAATGCTACTTAGTTTAAGGAATTTAAGAATTTAAATTCATAGGGCAGTCCTGTGAAAAATTTTGTTGTATGCAGCCCTGCAGTCTGTATATTTCACAGAACATTTATTAATCACCTGCTGTGTGAATCCTTACAGATGCCGAAACAAAACTAACACACAGTTCCTGTCCTCAATAAGTTTATAACATAGAAGAGGGAAAGAAAGCCATATACAGAAGACCATCACTCAGATTAGATTATGATAATCATCTGGGCACCTCATCACTTTCCACCCGTCATGTCTTCCAACTCTCAGCCCAATATTATCTCCTCAGTAAAAATAAGTTATTTATTTTGTTGAATAGCAGCAAAAGCTATTAGCACCAAAGGACTCCAAGTCTCATACATTTGAAAGAGTTACTTGTGGCCTCCACCAGAGTTTTGTTATCCTAAAAATTTCTGTTTTTCTGACTTTGGTAAGGTAATCCAGTTGAAAACTTTAGCCTAGGCCATAAATAAATATCTGAACCACAGGACCAGAGCAAAGATCACTGGACTTGGAATAAGAAGAAATGTGAGTCTAAACCCTTATTATGACTTTTGCTCAACATGTGACCAGGCACAACCTCCAGCCTCAGTTTCTTCATCTATAAAATAGGGATAGCTCTGTTTGCATAATTGTGACGATAAAAACAACAGCAAATAAAAAAATTTAAATCCTCCTAAATCCTCTCTCTCTACTCTAAGGTAGACATGCCTTTCTTCTTGCCTAACACCTTTTTTCTCCTGGCTTTTCTACTCTCTACTGGATACTTTCATGTTTCATGTCTGTGTAATTGGGATATTATCCGGCACTCCCAGATGTCTCCCTGCTTGTGGCGTCAGAGATGGAGGAAAAAAAAAACTAGATACACTTCAAAAGAAATCCTCCCCTAGTCCCTCTAAAACACACAGACTTTGATGACAAGTTGCCCTGATGTGGAGGTGACAAAGGACCCAGACATTTCATTCATCAATAAAGAGTAGTGACAAGAACCTAGTAGAACCCAACTGTGCCATGTCCAAGGGTGGCCTCTCCCAGGACCTTTGTTGACCCCCCTTTCATCTGCTTTAAAGGCTATCTGAAGCAAGGTTCTGGTAACCTCTCTAGTACTATCTTTCATGGCTCCTCACCCCTGGATGTCTCAAGTTAGCCCTTTTGATTTCCCTTGTATGAGTGAAAATGTCCTTTAATAAAGATCTATTTCCCTAAGTGGTAATGAGCAGTCTGACCATTGTGTAAAAGGCTCTTTTCAGTCACCAAATTGTCCTTATGGACTGGCCAACCACGCAAGATATTTGCAAGGAAAGCACAGTGTAAGCCTTAAAGAACTCTAGAAATATAAGCTACTACTACTATTATTACTACTACCACCACCACCATCACCACCGCCACCACCACCACCACCACCACCACCACCACCACTACTACTACTACTACTACTCAGTTGGGATCAACCCAAATTCTAAGCCAGGAGAACCCAAATTAATTATTTAGGGGGAACATGTTTACCCATCATGACTATCTAGACTCAGAGTTCCCCAAAGCCAAAGATGCCATGTTCTCAATGGTCTCAATTTCAAGAGAGGCCTCCTCCGTTGTCAGGGGTTCTCACTTACACTCTCCCTCCTGTAGGCATAGCTGGTCATTTCTTTCATCATTTCTCTTAGGAAGGGACAAGGGGAGGGGGTTTAAGGAAGAGGGAGTTTGTAGTGGCTTCTTGACTAGACCCATGGGGGTGATGAGCAGTGGCTGGGACAGATTGAATTTCAGACTTTGAAAGGGCAGTGTTGCCAAGAAGGCTGTGCATCTCCTCACTCTCCACTCAAACAACCATGACATGTAAGATCTGCTGGCCCCCTTGATTGTAGAGAAATAAATAAATGAATTATGTTGTTGGGGTTTGGGCCTCGGCACAAACACATGGTCTGTATTTATTCGCACAGTGAGAGGTCCACCAGCCACTTGATGTAAAAGACCAAAATGATAATTCTTTTCTTTAGGCACTTTGGTGCCATATGGAATGTATATAAATCATATTTTTGTTTTAACAGCAGGGGCTTTGTTGATAGATAAACATGTGGTTTATCTAAAAAAAAAGAGAGAGAGAGAGAGGATTGTGCTTTGAACAATCATTTAATGTCCGTGGATGTGCCAAATAAAAATAAAAACATAATTTTGAAAGAAGCTGGCCTTGTGCCCAAATCTTTGAGCAAGAATTCCTCCCCAACTGAAGTAGATAATGTGTGTCTATCTGTTTTGAGTTTAAGCTATGCTCTCTACTCAACCCCACGACAAATTGAATTGTGGACTAATGCTCACTAATAGGACAAGACATTACCTTTATGAATGACCTCATGGAGAAGAGATTGGCGAGCATCGTGGAGAGGCCTTGAGCCAGGCAGCTCTGGGCTATGAATCCTAGCTTCAACTCAGCAAGGCAGATTGCGTCATCTCCTTCTTTCCAATTCCAGCTTGGGATGTTTAGCAGATGGGCCTGAGGGAGCAAATACAGGTACAGGAGATCACTTTAGAGAGAGAGACACACACACACACAGAGAGAAATTATTTTTCTCCATTAAAAAAAGAATCCTTACAAGAATGTCTCATTGACCAAGTGACAGGAGACAAAGACAAGAAGGAAGGAGACCACCTTCTTGTGACTGCTTGACTCTGACAATTGGTATTTTCACTCAATTTGGCTGTTGACCAGATCTCCTTATTTCCCTGGGACTTTTCTGTATTTCTTCTCATCATTTTCCCTAGTTTTAGGGCCAAGCTCATTCCCTGAGCCTTGTTTCCTTCCTTTAGCCAAAGAGTACAAAGAGGGAATTTTCTCCTGTGTCAGACAAATTAAGCCATTCTGCTAAGTGAGCCCTTGAACTAAACTCGAAGCTCCCTGTAGGTAAGCCTTGTCTCCGACCTTGTACCATCACAGCCAGATCATTGTTTTAGGCAAACATGAGGCATTTGAATACCTGTTGATACACTGATGGTCCTTAGCTGAGGCCTGTTCAACATTTTTTTGTCAACAATATGGATGAAAATGAGGAAACCTGAGTGTGACATGGCTGAGGGTGAGGGGAGGTGGGGGGAGAAGCTCATGTAATCTCAGGCTAATTTAATATAAGTATGATATCCAAATCAAAAGAAGCAAGGATCCCACTGTACTCTGTACTAGTAAGACGATACATCTGGAAATAGTATACCTAGTTCTGGCTTCCACACCTTAAAAAGAAATGGATAACCTAAAAATTATATAGAGGAGAAAACCCAAAATGTTAAGGAGTCTAGACACCATATCAGAGTAAAGAAGAGTCCTGGGAATTAGGGGTGTTTAACCTGGCAAAAATAAGGTTAAGGAGAGACATGATAGTCATATTAAAATATGGGCTGTCATGTGGAAGATGGATTACACATTCTGCACTGTTCCTGATGGCAGCAAACCAACACAAGGAAGGTACGGGAAGAGGGATTTTGGATAATCTAAGAATATCCTAACAATTAAAGCTAACAACAAACTGACTTCCATGGAAAGCTGTGAACTCCCAGTCAATGAAAGCAATTGAGAGGTCAACAACAGGCATTGGTGAGGAGGAGGTTGGATTGGATGACTTCTAAGACCTTATAAGACTCTGTGATTCTTTGGTTATCTTCTCCTTCTTTATGGTACTGGGAAGGCCAAAGATTGTGCTTTATTCACTTCTGATAATGTGCTCAGAAATCTTACTTGAAGGAAAGAAAGTTCTCCATGGAAGAATATAGAAAGGCACCTTTATGGGTCTTTTCAGAGTGGGGTTGACTCCCTATTCATCTGAGTACTGACCCAAAGACAGCTCTTCCAAGGGCTTGATGGAGCCAGATTCAAAAATACTAATATTTAAAGTCATAGCATAAGTCTGGGCTAGGATCAATGCTTAGCACCCTAAGATTGTTCCTCCCCTACTTCCCCCCACCAGTCACGCAATTCTAGTAAGCCATCTTTTCTCCCACTTCAATGCCCTGCTGGTATCTACTTTGGGAACATCAATCTTTGCTTTATTTTCAAAGATGCCTCAATGGAGGCAGCTAGGCTTTGAGGCAAAAATCTGGATTTTGAGTCCTGACTTGACCACTTTCTAAATGAGTGAATATAGACAAATCATTTCAGCTCCCTGGGAGTTATTATCCCCATATGTAAGACTGAGGACATTCAATTAGACTAATCAATCAAATAATCACGCACTCAGAACTTATTAAGTGTCCATTCTGTGCCAGGAACTGTGCTTGGCACTAGAGATTTAGAGACAAAAATACAAAATGCTTCCTACTCTCAAAAAAGCTCATATTCTATTTGATATTATTGAAAGTCTCTTCTGGCCCTGACCTTTTCTGATTCATTATAATAGAATAAACCAATTGAGTGATGAGATATGAATTTGAACTTAAATGCCCCAAGAATGTGGGTTGAACATGAGACCATAGATTTAGTACTGGAAGGACCTCAGAGGTCCTCTACTCCAGCCCCCAGGGACTTAAGAAACAATGCCACTGGCACTTCAGTGACCAATACCCCTAATGCAGAGGCAAGTGAAGAGTGAGGTACGGCTACCATAGCTTCTTGAATTTCAAATTAGGGGTGGGGGTGCCACTTAGAGGATCCCTCCAAGTTCCATGTGCTTGTCAAAATATAAAGTTTTCAGTCCTCACTCATAACTCAAGTCTCTGACTCCTCACTCCTCACTCTTCCATCTGGTTTGAGTTCTTTGTTTAGACATATTTTACATGTCATTACATGTGAAATTCAAGTTAGTTCCATTACTTGGGGCTTCCTTTGCCCCTTCTGTTGGCCAGCTCACTTTCTCCAATCACTGAGTAAAGTAGGAGTGGGAGTGAGATGGGGAAGAAAAATCGTGTTAATGAAACAAAAAAGATCCTGATCCGCCATGGGGATTCACATTATGAGTTTCTACCTCTTTTTGGCATCTTCATTGGAAAGAAATCTTGGCCTGGTGGAAAGTGCCCAAATAGAAGCACAGGAGAAAAATCCCCTAATTTAGAAAATACATCTGTGCCCCAAAGGCAAGGCCAGAAGCGTCTCTCCAGTCACAATGTTAGTGGCCTTTACCTCAGTTGTAGAAGATGGGGAAAGCATTGAAATGAGAGTGGGAGGCTTAGATTCTAGGCCTGATTAACCACTCATTTCTGTAACCTTGAGCAATTCACCATTATGTCATGGTGAATGGGAAGAAAACCCACACTGATATCAGAGAACTGTGTTTGAGCCCAGATTCCAATTCTTTAATCACTTGCTAAATGACTCTGGGAAAGTCACTTAATGTTGCTGAGATTCACCAAGGATAACATCTCACTAAGTACTTTACAAGGTAAGAAAAGGGCTTTACAAACCTTAGAGAGCTCCATGAATATGGCTTATTATTAACAGTAATTAATGGCTCTAGCTTGGCCAAAGAAGAGGTCCTAACCTTCACTGGAGAGGTGGGGGACTAGGGGTGTGAAACATTGTGCATATTTTTCATCTCAGTTGATATCCTAGTTTTAAATGATTATTTTTTTATTCTTCATTACAAGGTATACAATCTTTGGGTAGGGGAGAGAGGAAGGATGTATTTGGAAATAAAGGGGAAGTTAAAGCAAAATATTTTAATAAAATTTATCTTTAAAATAATAATATCTTTTGTTCTTCAATTGTTTCTGCTGTGTCTGATTCTTCGTGACCTCATTCGGGGTTTTCTTGGCAAAGATGCTGGAGTGGTTTGCCATTTCCTTTTACAGATGAGGAAACTGAGGCAAACAGGGTTAAGAGACTTGCCCAGGGTCAAACAGCTAATAAATGTCTGAGGCTAGATTTGAACTCAGGAATATGAGTCTTTCTGATTCCAAGCCTGGCTCTCTGTGCACTGTGGCACCACCTAGCTGCCCTATAGTATGTTAGTAATATCTTAGTATGGTGGAAAGACCTCTGACTCTCAAGTCAGAGAACTTCTGTTCAAATCTTGCTTCTGATGTTTGCTATCTATATGGCCTTGGGTAAGTCATTTACACTCTTTAGGCCTCAGTTTCCTCAACTGTAAAGAGAATGGCTTGTGCTAGACAGACTCTGAGGCCCCTAGATCTATGATCTCAATTTTCTCACAGGCAAAATTGAAATAATAGCATCGGCCCTTCCTGCTTAAGTGGGATAACACCTTATTAAATGGGCATGTCAGAACACTTTGAAAAGTTTAAAGTCACAGTTATTACTAAGAGGAATAGAGGAGTTCAGCTACATCCCAGTACTGCCAATGGCCATCCTCACCATCCCCATCCCCACTGTGCTCCCCACCTTCATCAAGGACCAATTCACACTAAGTATCTTTCCTTAAGGAGATGAAAGCTCCCTACATTGAGAGCAAAGAAAGCCCAATGGTATCATTCTTCTCCTTCAGAGATAGAAATGTGGTGCCTTGGATGCTTTTCAGTGTGACAAACTGTATCACTTCTGGGGAGTATCAATCCCTTCTGCTCTGCTTGCTCCTAGGGTCTACTGCTAGGCTGATGGGTCCACGTGTTCCGACATTTGAGGGATCACGGCTGCTGGTACCACCTGTCCAGAGCACTGGCTCAAAAACACACTCCCCTAAGTTTCTGCACACCAAAACTAGCTCATCTTTTTCTGCAATAGTTCTATGAGATGTCTAAAGTTCTGTGAAAATAGAATGTATTCCCCACCCCTTGGCCATAAGCTCCTTGAGAACAGGAACATATTTTTTGTTTGTCTCCTTGTGTATTTTCACATAGCTAGCTAGTGCCTTTCACACACTTATTAGGTCAAGAGTCTGTGATTTCAGACGCAGAACGCTGCATCTGTAGTTTTAGGGAGTTTCCGGAGGATGAGACAGAGGGAGGGACTTGCTCATGGTCACACATCTAAGAAGAGGGCAAGGTGAAATCCAAAAACAGGTCTTCCTGACCAGAATTGCAGCACTGTCCCACTATGTAACGTAGCTTTGAACATAGTAGGTGTTTAATCAACGCTCATTGAATTAAATATTTCCTGAATTAAAGGAGACAAACTGAGTGAAAAAACAAACAAACAAACTACAAAGTAGGGAGGCTAGGTGGCACAGTGGATAGTGCCAGGCCTGGAGTCAGGAAGTCCTGAGTTCAAATCCTGTCTCAGATACTTACTAGTTATGCAATCCTGGGCAAGTCACTTAACCCTACTTGCTTTAGTTTCCTCCTCTGTCAAATGAATTGGAGAAGGAAATGGCAAACCACTCCAATATCTTAACCAAGAAAATTCCAAATGGGATCACAAAGAGTCAGACGTGACTGAAATGACTTAACAACAAGCAACAAACACAAAGGATTATTATAATTATATTTGAAAGGTAGGCTTGACTTCTTACTGAGAGCCCAGGAATGTGCAGCTGCTTATCCTGGATCACGCAAGATGGGGGGACGCTGGGAAAGCCCGTTCTCCAAAAACTAAGGTCTTTGGGGGTTGAGTCACCCCAGGTCCCACAGGTTCAGAGGCTAGATTTGAGCTCAGGTACCCCGACTCCAGAACCAGGAAGAATTCACTGTATCACGCTGGGAAGCTGGGCACAGCAGCGATAAGCTTGACCTTGGCTTAAGGCTGGTTTCAGTCAACTGTGCTGCTCAGCAGGCTGTCTGGATGAAGAATGGCAGTGCCAAGGGAGCTGCCACGATCACAGCCCCCTCAGCTTCCCCACCTCTCCTCTTGAAGATGGTTCTGGTGACAATGTATTGGCGGTCCTGAGGCATTTCCTTGGCACTCAGTTGGGTGGAAAAAAGAGTCTGGGTAACTGTCAAAGCCAATTCCCCCTCTCTGTTTAGAAATCTCAGAAGTTCTGCCATCAGGACAGGGTGCTTTTATGTTTCTGACTTGCCTGGCCAAAGTCTCAATCTTTGATTTTTTTGCACAGCCCCAGGACCCAAATAAATTGGGACTAAAAGACTAAAAAGAAATCAGACTCCGGGCAAGTAAGAATGGAGGAGAGATGCCCTCTATTATTTTTGAACAATTTATACAGTTCACATTTGTAAGAGATGTTGAAGATGAAAGTAGGCATGCATAGGCACAGGCTCCAAACTGTGGTGGGGTGGTGGAGTTGTTTTAGCTTTGACAAGAATCATTTCACTCAAATTCAGTTGAATACATCAAAAAAAAAAAAAAGCTTTGTTTCTAATTTGAAGGAGCCTTAACCCCTTTCCAAATATAGAGCATTATTATTCCCATTCAGTGTAAATCTGCCTTAAAGCAGGAGGGAGGGAATGAGGGAGGGAGGGAGAGAGAGAGAGAGAGAGAGAGAGAGAGAGAGAGAGAGAACCCAACCCAACTAAACTTTAAATTGCCAAAATAAATAACCATCAGTAGACATTCAGCTCCATACTAACATCATCCACCAATGTGAAGGTCAAAGCTAGGAAAATTCCAACACCAGCACCAGGGAAAATCCCATAGAGCATCACCAGCTATGGAGCTACAACTCAGGAGCTTCGGCAAGTTGGGGCTGGTTTGTCACTGACATTGTCTCCATGTGCTCAGCTCGAGGTTGTCCTGGTTTTCGAGACACAGACAGATGAATACGACCTTGGGTGCCCACCACCAAACCTGCCTGCTATGTAATGTTGAACTGCAGAAAAGCAGCCACCTGCTGAGGGCTGGCTAATGGTTGGCAATGACGGTGATCTCCGAGTGGAGGGCGAATCGCCGACAGCAGGATACACTCAAAAGAAGAGCCTTCGGTGGGCTCCCACATGGCAAAATGGGTCATCGTTTGCCAGCAATTAAGGAATAATGGCATGGGGCTGTTGCAATTGGCAGAATGGAGTCATCTCTGGGTCATCATCCTGTTTGTTATGTAGGGAACGAGGGCTGGATGATGGGGATCACTCTCACTCCTGATCCAGCTGGGAGTTATTGTGTTCAACGAAGACACCTGGACCCGGGTACAAAGTAGCTTCTGGTCTTTAGGATTCATTGCTAAGATAAGCTACTGAGTCTCAAATAAAGGAGTCACTAGCTACTTTCCCTCCCCAAAAGCTGTTTTCCTGGGAGCTTACTAAGTAGAAAAGTATTGCTTTTGGGAAGAGAGACTGAGTTCTAAATTGTAGATAAGCAAATCACAAGAGAAGAGAAAAAAGAACCAATATCCCCTGAAACTCATACACATATGCACTTTCCTAAACCATACATCTTAAGAAATTATACATTTATTTTTAAATCTCCTGAGAGGGAACTTCCTCCCTGAAATGAACTATGCTCATTCTAAACTTCGTTTGAGGTGAACCAAGTCCATATAATCAAAATATCTGAGTTAAATACGTCCTCAAGGATTATGTTTTTCAACCCATACCTGAAGCAGGAATCCTGCTCATGTTGCATTCCCTCTAGGTCTACCTCATCTCCTTGTGGATTCAGAAATTCATAGTAAACTGGTCATTCCGCTCAGACCATACTTACTCTCATCCCTTTGGGTCCTATAGCTTTGAACAGTGACAGTGCAGTATAATTGATCTTTGGGGACATCTGCCTTGCCTAACCAGATGAACTGCCAGTTCTTTGAAGGCAGGCTTCTTCCACCTTTTCTTTCTTGTATTGTCCACAGCAATAAGATAGACCACTGAGCACATAGTAGGCACTCACTGCATTGCTACTGAATGTTCAAAGTGCATAAATGAGAGAAATTTAGGGTATTTAACAAAAAGTAATCTAGGGATGTGTCAAAAGCTCCATACAGTGGACACTTACTAAAGGAATAAATATGAACGTTAATAACAGAAATGTGGCATAATATAATAAAAATAATAATAATAGCTTACATTTATATAGCACTTACTATGTGCCAGGCATTGTGCTAACTGCTTTACAATTTTTATATATTTTGAACCTCACACCAAACTTGAGAGGTAGGTGATAGTATTATCCCTGTTTTCCAGATTAGGACACTGAGACGAACAGAGGTTAAGTGACTTGCCCAGGGTCACACAGCTTAGAAGTGTCTGAGGCCAGATTTGAACTTGGGTCTTCCTGACTCCAGGCCCAGTGCTCTATCCATAATACCACCTCACTGCCATGGACAAGTTAATTAGCCTCCCTGGGACTCAGTTTCCTCATCTGTAAAATGAGGATAATTTCACAGAGTTATTAAAGATTAAATAATGTGTGTCAAGAGCTTTGAATACCTTAAAGTGCTACATAAATGTTAGCTATTTTATGAATAAAGATCTCTTCCAAAGACCCAGTAATACCTGGATATTTGGCTAGAAGGAATTTTCCAAAGAGATTGTTACCTATCATACCTCTTTTTTCCATAATACTTTTTTGATAGTATGGGGCTGAAGTAGAAAGTGGGAGCCATTGGGAACTCAAAACTTAAAAAAAAACCACATGTTAAACATTGTTTTACCATATAATTGGGGGAAATTAAAATATTATATATATTTTTTAAAATGAAAGAAAGTGGAAGCCATAGGTGACCTGGAGCTTGCAAGCTTAAACCAGCTCTCGAGAACAGACTGCTGCATTTTCAGCATGATCATTTACACTTGGAAATTGGAATTACTACAAATCAGGCATGGTTTATTGTTTTGATGGTTTTCTAGACTTTAAAAAAAAGTAATAGAGAAAATATTAAAGCAGATTAAAGTTAAAGATGTATTGTGTATTCATCCCCCAACCCCCACCAGGAAGCCAGTTGTTAAATATTTACCAGCAAGACAGTTAAATATTTATTGGTGCACTGCTGATAGGTTCCATGTTTACATACCCACATGAGAGGCAGGCTCTCACTTTCTTACCTTGTTGTGATACTGTAGCATCTGGGTGATAATTCTGATTTTCGGGTGGTAGTTCTTTATGGAAATCACTCTACAAAAGAAAAAGCCAAAGTTGAGGTCTCCTTTCTTGCTCTAGCACCCTTAGTGGCTCCCTATTGTTTCCTTCATCTTTAAAATGAGGTGATTGGACTAGATGACCTAGGTAGAAGGTCTTAACTGTGGGCAGTCCCAGGTATTATTGTTGTTTTTTTAAAAAAATATTCTGATAACTACATTTCAAAATGATTGGTTTCCTTTTTAATCCAATGTATTTTATTCTATTTCATTTCTTTAAAAACATTATTTTGAGAAGTACATAGGTTTCATCTGACTGCCAAAGGGGTCCATGTCCTGCAAAAAGCTAAGAACCCCTGACCTAGAAATTCCTTCCAAGTTTATAGTAAGATGCAATGGTCCCACCTCCAGAGATTCTCATAAGTCTAGATTGCAGTCCCCTCCCATTGCTGATTTTCAGAATTCTTATCTTCCTTTGAGACCAAATTTAGGCGCTACCTCCTCCTTATAGCCTTCTCTGATCTCCCTGGTTAATCAAGTTCTCTCTCTTTTTAGATGTTCTCAAACAATTTTCTCTGCATCTCTTCTTTACCCACATCATTCATTACTTTATGCCATTATTAATTGTGTAGATACTATGTCCGCCATGCCTGGAATGCTCTCCTTCCTCATTTCCACCTCCTGGCTTCCCTCAAATGCCAGCTAAAATCAGTTTCCTGGACCCCTTTAACTCTAGTGCCTTCCCTCTGTTGAACATGGTAGGCTTAGTATAGTACTTGGCCCATAATAGGTGCTTAATAAATGTTTATTGACTGACTGAGGAATTGAATGTCTTCTTGTTGAGAACTACATCTTAATCAGTTTCATCTATGTCTCCCTGTATCTGGCACAGTGCTTTGGACAGTAGGTGATTAATATGTACTATGATTAATAAATGGTGATTAATAAATTATTGGTGAATTCATGAACAGAATTGAAGGAGGAGGATCTAAAATAGTCATGATTTCCTACCATGTTCAAGCCAGTTAGATTATTTTTAACTGCAGCAAATGGAGGCCAACAACCAGTCATTCCAAGGGTAGGGAAAGAAAGAGAAGATAGAACCCACTCAAGGGCAAATCACACAAGGGTTTTAGTTTTTCTTCCGTGGATCAAGCCTAAATTTGCCTCTTTCAGACATCTTTCCATTTCTCTTAGCTCCTCCCTGTAAGGACAAGAGAATGTCAGATTCCTCCCCCCAGGACAGTCCTTCCTCTTTCTCCTCTTAGCTTGGCCTCTATTTAACTAGACATGTGACCTTAATGAAAGCAGTTCCCATCTATGCATCTCAGTTTATGCATGGATGGACTAGATGATTCTGAAAGCCCTTTTCAATCTCTACAAGTTGCTAGCAATCTTAGTATTGGTTGAAATTTAAAGAAAAGTCCTACCTATTCTGATAAGTGTTTGGAACATTTTCTTTTTGTTTTAGAGTTGTTTTTTTCTTCCCCCAATTGGTTTTGGCAATCGATCCAGTGGTACCTTATATATGTATATAGATGCCTTGGGCATCTTAAAAAAAAAAAAAACTCCAGATGATCAGATCATTGGGAACACCATACTAATTAATATTTACTGTCATCATCCGTTGTCTTTATTTTATCTCTCAGAGTAGAGGAGGAGCATGGCCACTTCATGGAAGTAAGAGAGCTTTGGGTTCATTTGCCTTGAGCCAGATTTGGGCTTGATATAAGCCAACAACAGCTCCTAAGAGTTTGAGGCATGCTCCAAAATCGAATGGGCTGCTCTGGAGATGAGTAATGGGTTTCTCATCACTAGAAGTCTTGAGGGAAAGATGCCCGCTTGTTACACTTATTTCAGAGGAATCCTTGTTATGGTATGGGTTGGCCTAGATGGTCTCCGAGCTCTCAATAATGAGATTCTGTGACTCTCAGTGGCACATCTAAATAAGAACTTCTAGTGTATTTCAATGAGCACAGGCCTTAGCTGAGAATCACTGTGGGTTCTTGTGAATCTCCTCCTTCTGAAACCTCCATCCTTATTTAGAATACACCACTGGTCCCAGCCCATATGTGGTTCTGATTTCCATTGGACTATCAGGAAAAGAGGACTTGGAGGTATAGCATTTCCTCAGGTTCTTATCTTAGCTTTGACACTAATTTGTTACATCACCTTAGGTGAGACACTTAACCTCACTGTACTCTGGTTTCTTTATCTGGACAATGGGGATGAAAGCCTTTAGCCGTGTGAACTGCCAAATTTGTTGGGACATAAAAGGGCTTAGTAAAAATTAAAAGCGCAGCCCACCTATCTAAGTCACTGTTATGGATACCTGTGTCAGGATTCCAGGCAGGAATGCATATTTCCCTCAAAATAGAGCAACCAGAAAAACAAAATTCAAGATCAGAGACATATTTTACAAGTCAACTCTTCTTTAAGCCCAACCCTTTATGGAAGCAGATTTATTAAGTGTTCTCCACCTTACTCCTACTAAAAGTTACACTCAGACACCCTGGTCTATGTTTTATTAAATCAACCACTTTACCTTTCTTTTAAGAAAATGTATAAACCATATTGTGTAGGGAAAAGGTTAGGGTGGGAGGGAGGGGAGAAGTAGGGAAGACTCAGCCAAGGCATCAGTTTTCTCCTAAAAGCTTATAGATGTTCATTAGGGAAATGCACAGATAGTAAGACTTCCTCCTGTACAGATTCACACAAGGCTTTTGTTCTTGAAGGATATAATTTTGTTTTTGAAAAAGCATTGTATCTGCCCCATCTATAATTCAAGGAATAAGAGGCCCCAGTCATCATGAGATCAGGTCATACAGATTGGTCAGCTCTCTAAGCAAGCTAATTTCAAATGCATCTTTGCTATTTTTGTTTAAGGGAGGCAGACTGTTTTCTTAGTCTGGTAGATGCAGTAAAGAAAATAAAATAAGAAAAGGCAGAGCTAATTTTTAACCCGACATTCCCATGTTCTTTTTTCTCCCCTGGCCTCAGAGAAAAAATCAAGGCATTTGTTTATCTTAACCAGAAGTGGGTTTCATTTGGGCTAAATGATTTTTATGCCTTGGCATCATGCCAATCACCCTAGGATATCAGTACTTTAATAGAGTGTAAAATCTTGAACTGTTCAGGCTCGTGACTTAAATAACATGTGACAATTAAGAGAAATGATATTTTTGAACCTGACCTTCCAGGTGGAATACACAAAAGAAGGTGCCATCCCATCATTTCTCTCTGGCTTTTGTCCTGCTGTTAAGTCATATTCTCAATTGAATGTGCTATAGACAATGAAACTTAGTTATTACCTTGGAGGTCTGCATTTTATCCCTTAAAATGACTAAGGAAATATTCAAGTAAAATGAGTGAGATGGTGTTGCGGGTGGGTGCAGGGATAGATATGCCCACCCTTTAAACATGGAATGGATGGATTCTTCACACAAAGGTCTCTACAATGTTGTTCCTGCTGAGGGTCATAGGAACTGGTGGGTAGTAATAAGGAGGGATAGGAAGAAGTAGGCAAATATATATATATATTATATATATATATATACATACCTATGAGATATGAAATAAGAAGCTATTTCTGTACCTTCTACTGCCTTCTGAGGCCCTGATTAAGAAAGTTCACAAATGTCTGCAACAGGCAGGCATATTGGCTAAAGAAAAGTGAGAGAAATGAAAAGATCCTGACAGATCTGCCCTGCCAGATGCCAAGGCCAGATGCTAATGGGATGGTTTGCTCTCTCCTAAATATGTCAGACCAACCTTACTTCATCATGACCTGCCACTGACTTCTAGACAAGAAAGCTCATGTCTCTTGGGACAATTGATTAAAGAAAGGGCAGAAGAGATGAGAGGAATTCTAAAGTATTAGGCCCTTCATGGCCCCAAAGCTTAACCAAATTCCTAAAGAGAGGACACCCACACCCAAACCATATTGAAGGGTTCAGTAACACTCTGTAGTCAATAAGATGGATGTTCAAAATTATGGAAGACATCCATTGGAATTGAGAAGCAATGAAATACTTTCACTTAGCTCCTCCTTCTTCCAAATTGTTCTTGATTGTTTCCTGATACTTGCTCATAAGACCATGCTGCCCTTTAAAATGGGGGAAGGGAGAGTGACATATGTCCTGAGTCCTTGGAAGGAATTTCTGTACTATGACTAGAAGCTACAAAAGGGCTATCTGAAATACAGTCCTAAGGACAGCTCAAAGTCTAACCTACTTTCATAAGGACACAGTCTTACAGATGGAATCAACCTTCAGGGAGATCAAGTCCATTCCATCCCAGTAAACAGATTAAAAAAAAAAAAAAACTGAGACAGAGATTGAGTGACTTGTCCAGGGTCACTTTAACTAGTTAAGTGCCATAGCAAGGAATTGAACCTCAGGGCTATGACTCCCAATCCAGTTCTCTCTCCATTAGATAATGATAATAACAATGAGGATGGTGGTGGTGATAATTAGCATTTATGTAGTGCTTTGAGGCTTGTACAATGCTTTACAAACCACATCATTCATATTCGAAGGAATCATATAGATCACAGACATAGGACTAGAAGGAACCTTAGAGGTCATCCAGTACAACCCCCTAATTTTACAGATGAAAAAACTGAGGCACAGAGAAAATAAGGGACTTGTCCATAGCCACACAGGTTGTAATTGGAACAGTTGGAATTTGAACCCAGCATGTGCCATGCTGCTTTCCCATGGTCTAGGCTCCCTCTCTACATTTCCCTTGCCCTTTTGGAGCTTGAACTGACATTCCTAGTCTTCATATTTGCTTTGACCTTGGTAGCTCCAGAGTCCACTAACCCATGCCACTTTAATGATGGCTTTCCATGCCATCAATATTATCTCAATCAGATAGAAAGTTCAGAAAAAGACTTCAGAAAGGAAAGATGGAATAGTCAGCAGAGCTGGTACTTCCTAGAGACCTAAAAAGTGGAGAGAAAGGGCAGCACACCGAGGAGGCCACACCCTTTCCCAGCTTCTCCATGGTTACCTCATGATGTTGGAGGCATCTTCAGCATCCGGGTCAGCGCAGTATTTATTGGCAAGGATTAGGCACGCATCTGCTGACTCTATCTAAGACACCAAAGGAAAATAACAAAACACAAACATATAAATAGCTCGGCTTGCTTGCAATTTCTCTCTTTTGGCAGCTCTTGGAGAACCTGGTGCTTCCCAGAGGAGAGCAAGCGCCTCGGAGATTATAGTTTTCATTGAGAGTGTAGGCTGCGATTTCTTGGTAGGATGTAAACATTTCATTTTGTTGTTGCTGGATTGCACTACATGCACCTTGATAATTATACTTTTCACTTTGCATAGTGATTTACATCCACTCTCCTCCAATTTACTTAACAAGCAATTAATTAAGTCTTATATCCTCCTCCCTTCCTTTCCCTTTACCAACTGTATCACTGTCTTTTTTTTTTCCTCCACGGGAAGGGAAGGTTAAAGCACCCTTCTCCATCGATCAAGTATTGGAAGAAGAGAGAGAAGAAATCAGAAATCCAGGCAATGACTATCCTTTAGACATCCCCATACCAAATGTGAATAGGAGCAAATTTTCACTGAAAGTTAGCTCTCTCCTTCAAGAGGGACTATGTTTTGTGCTCAAATATAACTATTAAGAATTGTAGGGGTGTGTGCACATGTACATGCGATGGAGGGGCGGAGTTTGGTATTACTGCTAAATTTCAAATGCTAGCTAAGATTTCCTCAATGTTTTTCAAAGAAAAGTTACTTACTGACTAATTAAGGTAATTATGTTAATAATTGTTATTTAATGATATTGTTTTAATGATAAATTTCTTTTGGGTAATTTGAACCCTTTGCATAATGTTAAGATTAGCTGGTCTCAATAAATAACAAAAACAACAGCACAAACGAGGTTGTGTCAGATCTATGGTTTACTCCAATCAATATTAGATTGCTTATAATTGCACCCAACACATGTTGGGTGCAAAAACATGATTTCTTCCTCAGCGTTGTCCTTAAAAGATGAATGATGTGCTCTCACATCACCTCTAGCTTGCCTAAATAAGACAGTTTTGGAGCTAATATCCAAGAATTTAGCTGAGTCACTTTTAGACTAACTGCTAACAATCAGAACTGTCATTGGGACAACGAGTGGTTTGTTCCAGGGCACGGAACTTCACGTGCACTAAATTTAGAGAACATTGATGGCACAGGTAGTCCTTCAGCCTCTAAACAGTTAGTTAATTAATTAATTAGCAATTAATTAAATTAATTAAAATAGCTATTTACTAGATGGCAAGTTCGATAAATTCTTCCCTACTTCTCTGTGCCCCTTACCCCAATACACAGATATTAGCAGCAGTGGCCTGATGATAGTGTTTAGGGTCCCTGACATGTTCGCCTCTGCCCCACAATGGCCCAAATTATCCCAGTTATATTTTGTGATACTTGCCCTGGATATAAAATTCCTAGTTGTGCCTCTGCTCCCCATAACAAAGGCTTATATTTCAGCCAATCCCACAGGCATACATAAAGTACCAGGTGACAGTGCTTGTCAAAACACTGTGACTTTTCCTAAGTCTCTCTGCCATACTCCCCTCAGGCCAAACTATCGTAAGAATGTCATGGGAAGCTAGTAGATTTAAAGAGGGTGGGAAGGGAGGAGAGATAAGTTGAATCTTTGCTTATGGAAATTAGATTAAAATTACACACACACACACATACGTGCACAACACAGCCTCAAGTAAAAGAATAAAACTAAAATAATACTCATGTAGCATACGTAAGGCCCTGAAAGCATAAACCTGAAGGAAAACCCTATTGCTGCTCCATAAAGACAATATAACATTAAGACCAGATCTTTCTAACTTGGTCAGATCCAATTAAAAGGACAGGAAATGGAACAGCACAGAGATTATGTCTTGCTGCATCATTTTTGCTTCTGATGTTTAGTGTGAAAATCAAGTGACCTAGCCATAGACAGTGGAGGTATCTTTCTTCCTGAAACTTGCTATCAAACACCTCAAGGTGTGGCAGCATCCATCAGGTGATCAGTGGCAAAAATAATAGTAATATTATAAATATATATAAATATAAATAAAAATAAAAGTAACAGAGATATTTGCTTACTAAAAACCTTTCCCCTACTCCAACTTTTAAATTTTTTTTAGTTCCTTAATTGTCTCTTCAGAAGAGAGTAATCAAACTTGAAATACCATTAAGTCAAGCAGAGCCCATTCAAATGGGAATTCCTTTGTCCCAAAGGATCACAGATTTGGAATTGGAAGAGAGCTGAGAGGCTGGCAAATACCCTCATTGACAGATGAGGAAACTCTGGCCCAGAGAAATGAAGTGACTTGTCCAAAGTCATACAGATAACAATTATCAGAGGCCAGATTCTAACCCAGGTCTTCTATTCACCTGGAATCAGATCCTTGAATCTATTTATTGGCTTTCCTTTATTTAGTACTGGCCAATTACATGTACTCTGAGGGAGGTAATAAAAAATGGGAGAAGAATTGATTAGGATTTTTTTCCAAACATATGAAGTTTGAGGGGAAAGAACAAAGATTTTTCTCTTCCTATTCTCTGTCAGTAACAGATCCCAGGACACACCAGCTGATTATTAAAGCTCTGGTCTCCAGTTTGTCTCACAGGAGTTGTTAGAATCACCTCTGAAATCCTGGGATGTCCTCCAATTGCTGCTTTTCCTACATACTGACAAAAAAATCTATTGACTGTAAGCTGGAGGACAGGGGAGTTCTGTGTTTGGTCTTGCCCTGCCAGCACCGCACTAGACATCTAAATATACTCATTGAATTGACCTCACAGCTGAAGCAGTCAATTGTGCCTTACCTTGACTCTTGCCAGGTCATGCGGATTGAGGACTGAACCTTGATAAAATTCCACCTGAGTAAAGTGACGTTTGAAGAGAGCTTCAAGCTCCAAGTTTGGGGAAATACTGTGGAAAGAAAGAACAGAAGCATCTCAGTAAGATACCCACCTCTGGTTCTCTCACTTTCATGACTTCCCCACTGCCTGCAGTACCCACGGAGAGAGGCTTAGAAAGTAAGGTCTGCCCCCTTTCAAAACTGCCACATGCCGCATCATTGGTGAGAGGCTCAGGTGACCTGAAACCCTGACATCTAATCCAAGGAACAGGTGATGCTCCAAACTTCTGGGTCATTAGAGAAACATACGTGAGCTCAGGACTGGTACGTGTAGCAAAGATCCCAGGGAAAGAGAAAAGCTTTTCTTCAGAGAGATACTATTTGCTTGGTGATTTCAAAAGGTAACTGAACAGAGTAGCAAATGCTATACCTAGAATAAATGAATGCTGCTTGACTCCTAACACAAAGTGTATCCTTCTGTTCTCATAACTTTCTATCTTTCATTCTCATAACTTCTGTCTTTCAGTCAGTCAATAAGATTCAAGGATTATGTACCAGGCACTGTGTTGTGTGCTGGGGAATCAAACAAAGGCAAAGTGGTCCCTGTTGTCATGGAGTTCAAATTCTAATGAGAACTTTTTATCATCATCATAATCATTTTACCATCATCATCATCATTATTGTTATTGCTGTTGTTGTTGTTAACATCTAATGGGGGAGACATGTAATAACTAGGTACATGTAAGATATGTACAGAGTAGATGGAAGTGGGGCATTTTTTGGTATTCCCATTTTACAGATGGGAAAACAAAAAACAGTTGGAATCTCTTAACTCTAGCTTAGCCCCATGGCCCTTAGATCAGATTTATAAGAATTTTTCCACTCTCTCTACTCTGGCCTTTGGTCATTTCTTTCTAATTCCTCTATGTAGTAGGTTCTCCCTTTGGCAAGAGAGCTCTGCAAACAAGATTAAGGTTTAAAAGAATACTTTAAAAAGTGTGGTCAACTACTTCCTACCTACCTGACCTTAGACAAATCCTTTGCCCCTCTGGGACTCGGTGTCCTGATCTGTCAGGTGAGGAAGTTGGACTCTGATCTTTAATTTACTTCCATTTCTAAATCAATGATTCTATGATCCTCAGGAGGAGGTTTTCTTTATTTTTTTAAGGCAATTGGGATTAAGTGACTTGCCCAGGGTCACACAGCTAGTAAGTGTCAAGTGTTTTGGTCTGAGGACGGATTTGAACTCAGGTCCTCCTGACTTCAGGGCCGGTGTTCTATTCATTGCACCACCTTGCTGCCTCAATGAGGTTTTCTTAAATTGAGGAAAAAGGCAGGCACAATGACCATCTTTTCAGTACCTCAAGGCCCAACTGGATCAAAGGCTCAATAATTTAGAGCCAGGGGCTGGAAAGAGGGATAAAAGGTGGTCTAAGATAGTGATGTCAAACTAAAATAAAATCAGGGACCACTGAATCATACATAAGGATCCCTGTGCGCCACATATTGACTTAGAAAACCACATGTTTATGTATTTATTTTTTTATCAATACATCAGCACATTAAAATCAGATAGGAACTACATTTTCATCTGGTTTGGACCATTCTCAGGAGTACTGTGGTCTACATGTGGTCCATGGGCTGTGTGCTTGACACCTCTAGATTAAGAAAATCCAATGACAGGTGGGTGAGGAAGGCTAACAGCATGAAGTCCAGCTCCATTATAGAAGGTCTTGGAACAACTGGTTCCCCACATCTTGGCATATAGTTTTTGACCAATATTTAATCTTTAATTGGGACTTGTCTAGGACAGATCTAGGGATCTGCACTGTGAGAAAGGAGGGAGGAGGAGAGTGTTCTTTGGGGGATATCTCTTTGTGTTCTGATTGGATGCCTCCTGGAATTCCTTGTGCTTTCCAAGGTACAGTTAGGTGCCACCTCCTATATACATAAAACCTTTCTTCATCTATCCAGTTGTTAGTGTTTTTCCTACCAAATTACTTTGTACAAATTTTGCATACATTTATTCATGTCTATTGTATAACTCCCTAACAGAATGCAAGCACCTTGTAGGCAGACACCATTTTGTTTTTAGTCTTTTTATCCTTGACTCCTATCACAGTGCCTTTTCCATAGAAGGCATCAATACATGCTTACTGAATGAATGAATGAATGAACGATCCATTTTTAGACCACACTCCTACTTGCCGTTGGGCCATGCTAAGTCTGTAAGTCACTGCTGGCCTCTGACATCTTCCCCATGAGAATGAATTAATACTTAGGGGTAGCACACCCAGATATTATTAAGAGATTGTGGTCAAACCGACCTGGATTACTGGGGCAAGGTTTTGAGGAATATTTAACAATGGTATCCTTTCCCTCATGTAGAACTGATCAGGGACTCTTGTAGGCAGAAATCTTCTCTTAAGAGTTACTTGACTCATGAATCAGTACTATTTTCTTCACTTAAAGGATGCTTTATTATGGTAAGAAACTTACTTTGAATTCTTAAAAATTATGCCCCAGAGCACAAGCACTGGCAGGCCTAGTCTAGTTTGTCATTTCAAGCACAAAATGCTCTTAATTTAGTCTGGCAATGTATATATAGTTTGTCAGACTAGCCATATCCGGGGAGGCCAATTGCTACAGACTCAATCACCAGGTGAAGAATTCTGGAGGCATTAACAACTCATAAAACTTTCTGAAAAGGTCTGGAGAGGTTGTATTTGACATCATAGGAAACAATATCCATATCTAGCCAGGTGACACAGTAGGTAGAGTGCGGGCCTTAGAGGCAGAAAGACCCAGTTCAAATCCTACTAATCACTTACTAGTTAAATGATATTGAGCAAGTAGGTAACTTAATGTCTCAGTCTCAGTTTCTTCATTAATAAAATGAAGGTAATCACATCACTGTTGTGCTGGTAAATTTTTAAGAACTGGCTCTCTTTAGTAACCATAGTCAATCATTTGCATTATTAATATTTTCTCCATCACTTAAGTCTAGACAATCAACAAAATAATAAACCAAGCCCTGATTTCTAGCACTTGTCAGTTTCATTAGGTCTGGGTCCAGCAAACTACTGAATAAATAAGATAATACTTGTAAAGGCTTAGCCCTTGACAAGTTTGGAATGTTTGAAACATAGTAGGTTCTTAACAAATATTTGTTTCCTTCCTTCCTGAATGGCACCTACCTCACAGAGGTATAGTGTGAGGATCAAACCGTAAAATACTATATAAATGCTTACTCTCATCATCATCATCATCATCATCATCATCATCATTGTTATTATTATCATAATGAAATAACAGACATTTTGAAATACTGAAGTAATCCCATCTAACTTTTCTTATGTTCATTACTTCTCTCCCAAACTAGACTGTAAGAACTCTGAGGCCAGGGCAGTACCTTGTGCAACTTTGTATCATCCCAAGTATCTACACAGTTAGTATTCAGCTATTTGCACTGGGTCTCTCACTAAGTGCACCTGGGACCGTCTTTTCTACCACCCTAAACTTCCCTCTGAGATTACATCTCATTTACGCTGTGTGAAATCACACATTATATGTATTTTACATGTTTATATGTGCTTTATATGTACATATGTATGCATGTCCATAGTTATTTGCACGTTGTCTCCCCCATTGGAACATGAGCTCCCTGGAGGCAAGGACCACGTTTACTTTTGTTGTTCTTTGTCCTCCCTGCACGTAGTGAGTGCGCGGCACATACCAAATGCTTAATAAATGCTTGTTGACTGACTGAATGACGGACTGCAGCCTGGACAGAGTGCCCCTTACTTGTGAAGAAAGACAATCTCCACGTTGACGTCATCCCGGTCTTTGTGCAGAAAGTCCTTCAGGAAGTTGGACACGCTCTCCAGAGTGATGTGCCCACAGACAACGATATGCCTGTGACAAGAGAGGCTGGATTAGTGAACCCTGGCACCAGAGACAACCCTGCCCCTCATGGGCAAGACGGAGAAAGTGGCGGCAGCTGCGAAGGAAGCTTTTGTGTCCTCAAGCTGCATTCCTAAAAATCCGGCTGCCCATCCCCCTGAAGCCCGGGAGGCAAAGCTGAGGCGTTAGCAGGTGCTTAGAGACTTAGGGACTAAAAACGCATATGGGTTCTCACCTGATGCTGCACAAAATCCTATTAAATGCCAAACCATTTGGCCAAGTAGTTTTATGCATTTAACAATAAGTGGCATTATGGTTGAGTTTAAATGCTACATTATCAAGCCCCTTTGCAGATTCATATCTCTCCCTTTCTGCCCACAAAGCCTCCTCTCAGGAGATTTACTGTAGGAGGTTTGGTTTATGACATACAGCTTATCAGGTAATGAGATAACAAATCTTGCTGAAACGATGATTTTGTGTGTATGAAAGCAGACTGTTTTATCAGGGCAGCTAATGTGTGGCTTGACACATTATAGGCTCTGCTGGCCATAAGCAGTTAAAAGGAAATTTTGCATTTTTCTGCCATAACTCCTCCAACAATGGGAGCATGTAACACTTTACAGTAAGTGGGCATTACTCAGAGCTAAATGAGAATGGAACGCCTATGGAATCAAAGATGGGGCTATCGGGGCTGCTGCATCACTGGCTGGGTTGGTTATGCTCCATGGGATTTCCATGCATGCCAAAGGAATTATGGGCAGATAGGTGGAGGAGAGGGTGCTAAGGAGACACCCCCTTGGTCTAGATGGGGTGCCTCCTCGGAATAGTAGAGGAGGATGATAATTAGTGGGGTAGTAGATATGCAGTCATGGCTGCCGTTCATATAGAAAAACATTTAACAATACTTGTGCAACAGGTAAACCTTAGCTGTTATGTCCATTTTACAGATGAGAAGCTCAAGGTTCATAAAGATTAACCATCTGGCCCAAGATCACACACTCAGTAAGTGGCAGAGCCAGGACTTCATCCCTGGTCTTCTGTCTCTATGAGCAATGCCCTTTCCATGAACTCTGATGGAATATGGTTGGCCACTCCTGACTGCAGAATGGCCACATTTTTTAGGGCAAAATACTGGGGTCAGCAGCCTCTGCCCTCACTCTGGGTTCACCTAGGGATTTACTCCTCTAGGAATGAAGGATAAAGTGTTAAGTTTGTTATGTCTGTCCTTGCCTTTGACTACATTCGCTTCAGTTCCCAAAATGCACAGGTAAAGAGCAAGGCCAAGATCCCTGAAGCCTGGAGAGATACTAGTAATTTTTTGGGGGGGATGAGAGTCATAATAACAGCATGTCTCCAATGTTACCGGTCTCCAATGTTGACCTCAGCCTTGGACCCCACCAGTAATTACAAAAAAAGGCACCAATGCCATGCCTGCAGTTTTGCTGGCAGGGGTTTGAGGCACCAGCAGGTGGCAAATACGAAACAAGGTAATTTCCTGGGCAAAATTGAGAACCACCGGGTCTCCTCCACTTCATAATTGCTCTGTGCATGTTCCAAGAAGGCCAAGCCCTCATTGGCTGGAAGCAGCGCATAATGGGAGGCAGCAATGATTACTTATGCAATGTTCCATTAGAGGCCATTACAGGAGGTTGGCCTATCATTGTAATTTGGTGCTTGACTGAGTATGTGAGAATGATGCAGTAAACTCATCGGTGAAAGGATAATGATGCAGAACAAAGTGTAAATCAATAATACGCATGATGCAGTTAATAATATCGCCATTACGGACTGTTATTGTTACGGTGGTACAGTTAGCGATCAGGCAAACTGAGCTATAAAGAGGAGGCAGCGATGTTAATGTACTGCATCCAAGGAGATGTTTTAATCTTTGTTCTTAATCCTGGTCCTCAGAGGTTGAATGGGGCCATTATATCAACACCCAGGACTATATACATCTTTTAACTCTGATCATTGCTAACCACCATTTGGTTTCATCTGTGTGCCCATAATATCTAGATATAGATAAATTTAGACATATAGACATATGTGAATAATGCATATGTATGCCTAAATGTGTGATAAAATGTGTACTATAGGATATGGAAAAATATGCATGAATAGAACATAGGTGTGAGCAAGAAAAGAAGCTTAAATGAATGAGGTGTTAGGACAATGATGGCTAATGTAAAGCATACCTTTGGATTTCCCTAGTTTGGTTGTTAATGACAAAGCCACAGAAATCTAACCTGTCCTGATGGCACTCATGCTACTTTCTGTAACATCAGGAGCTTCTTTCAGAGAGCCTAGTCAGGCCAAAATAGTCTGTATTGATTCCTGACAGAGTAGAGAGAAGGAAGATTCTTCTCTTTTTCATAAATGAGTGAAAACTAAGGTTCAGGAGTCTGGTTCTTGCTATGCCACTACCTACTTGTTTGCTCAAGGGCCTTCACGGAATAACCAAGCTGAGGTGAGCTGTGCCACTCTATATCATGGTATCTTAAACTGAATCAACTCATCAATGTCTTGAATCAGAAAGCTCAACAAAGCTGATCCACTCAGACTTACAAGGAGGCAGGGTTCAGTTAATTGGAACTGTGCTGTGGATCTATAAGATATATTCCAATGCAATCAATATTATCCTTTAAGCCTTTAATTAGCTTTCACTTCTCTTAAGAAGTGGACAAATACAGTCAACAAAAAAATTTAAAAAAAGGAAAAAGAATTGACTTTTCTCATTTGGTGTTAGCTGTCCAATAACACTGAAGACAATTGAAAATATATATCTTTCAGTCTCAGAATGATTTCAAGGGTGGAGAGTAGTATTTATCAAAAAAAAAAAAGAAATAGGGAAAAAAACCTCCCTTCAATATAATTGGTATTTTTGCTCAGAAAAGAGAGATTGATTGAAAACAGATTGCCTTTTTGCCCAAGGAGAGTTATTAGGTACATTATCATAGAAACCTTGGAAAACCCATATTGTTCCAATCTGTCCTATATCTGATTTGAAGATTTACGGCTTCCTCTTCTTGTGCCAATGATCATTTCCCTCCATTTTGTTTTCCATACAGTGAAAGTTATCAAGGAGCCAACATATTGAAAATGTTTGAATGCAGTTAGGATTGATGGATGGGAGAGAGGCTGCCTCTTTAATTCAGCATCAACATTTGAGGACCTACTTCTCCTGGTGGGGGGGGGGGTGCAGTCACAAACACTGGAGAATCAGGGTGGAAGGCTGGTGAAAGGAGAATATTTATTTCCTAGGAATATTTTCAGGGCTTTTGCAAATTTCAGTGAAAACAGTTTGGGAGTAGGGAGTAGAAGAGGGAAGTAGGAAAAAGACTAAAGTGGGAAGGTTCCATATTTGTCCCCTCAATCATTGCACTTTCCTAAATATAGCCTTTAGCTGACAGCCATACTGACCTGACATATAGGAGTGTATATGGGTGCTACGTATTAGGAAAGACTGTGATAAACAAGAATCCAAAGGATTCTTCCAAGAACTGGTCTCTCATAATTTTTACACTGTTAGATGGGCTTAAAGAGAGAGAGAGAGAGAGAGACAGAGAGAGAGAAGTACCCTACTCAGGTACCACACAACCTTAAATTCCACTCATAAAAACTAATTTCTATGGAGCCTATAGTCCTCTTTTACAATGACCCTTGAAGGTTTATGTATTGAGTCACTCACATTTTGGTATATAATAATTTATATGATAATATAATAAAATAATAATTACATAATAATCTATCACATCTACTTTCTCCTTAGAGAAAGAGGATGAACTATTTCAAGAAGAGTGGGTATTAGAATCATAGGGAAGAGTATTGAAAAGAGAGAAGAAACTCAGACAGAAGAGTTGCCAGAGAGAATTATTGTCTCATTTCACAATTTTGCTGAGGGCTAGTTCTATTAGAGAATATAACTGTCCTAAAACAAGTCGTTCAGGCTAGGCAGCTGAAGACAGCTTGGGTTAAGGAGCTTTCAAAACACTTGTAAATGATGCTATTGATGAATTTTAATTAGGATTTTTAATTAACATAATGCTTCTACCCACATTTTTTTTTAAAGAAGAATTATGTAGCAAATAAAAGACTGGCCTCAGAATCAGAAAGACCTACATTCAAGACATTCAAATTCCTGCCTCTGACAGGAACTGCATGCATGATCCTGGACAAATTACTTAACCTCTCAGTGTCCCAGACCACTTCCTAACACTAAGTTACATTTGAATTTCCAGTCTGCATTGGCTCCCTCACCAAATGCCTGAGCTTTGAGTTACCAGTAGCTTCTAATTGTCAGAAGTACTCACATCCACTGTATTTTGGCCTGAGAATTCGGGGCTGCGTAGCTACAGGAAGTCTCAGTTGATACCCTAAGTATATATTTCTTATGGCAAGAAGTGAAATTACTCTTAATATTTGCCTTAAAAGATACATTTGAGGTAGAAGAGGGTCCTAAAATTGAAGCCAAAATAGAAGCAAGTGCCACTATTGGGAATATAATGGTAGCGTTAGAGTCTGATTGACATTAGTGTAAGTATAAAACTGTGCAAATGTGGGAAAGCTTGGCACAGAGGAGCCACAAAATGAACACTTAATGAATTACCAAAAAAAGTAGATTTCTCACTTTCCAAAGTGTTATCTAACCAGAGACAGCTTTAGTTCTGGGTACCTGGTGCTCCATCAGTGCTGATTTGAAGATAAAAGTTGCATCATTTGGGTAGGGGGCCCACTGTCTATATACTGCATTTTCCACTACCAAATTAGCACCGTTTCAGAGATAAACTAACCCATCTGTCTACCTGATAGACATGCAACAAAGTCACCATAGCATGGAAATAGGCGGATAATGTCAAAAGGGCCATGGGATCCTGAACATCTACATCCTGTTTGGGGAAACTGAGGAACTTTACAAGTGACTTCTATGGGCCCCTCCCAAAGTACCCAACACCTTGACATTCTGCCAGGGAATACATTCAGTGTTGGTTCAGCCGGAAGGGAGGAGATGACCT